CCTGAGCTTAGGTGACCTCCCCCATCTCTCCTTATAAACTGAACCCCAGGCCTCGGGCATGCTTAAGGTACACTCTGAGCTGGTGTCTCCAGTTTAAGTGGTTTTCCTTGAAGAAGGCAGTAAGACTGAAAAGTTGACGCTCTAAAGCTCTGGGTTAGGTGATGCTGAAATCTCTCTTTTGGTGCAGGTGTACACTGGGGCTATGAAGAAACCAAGACTTACCTTGCAATTCTGAGTGAGACTCAGTTCTACAAAGCCCTCCAGAACTGTCACCGCAACAGCCAGTTATATGGAGCAGTTGCTGAGAAATTATGGGAATATGGCTTCCTTAGGACCCCAGAGCAATGTCAAACCAAATTTAAAAGCCTACAAGCCAGCTATCGGAAAGTCAAGAATGGCCAAGCGCCAGAAACCTGCCCCTTCTTTGAAGAAATGGATGCTTTGGTGAGTTTCCGAGTTGCTCCCCCACCCAGTGATGACCAGGAAAAGGAAACAGCTTCTTGCTGCCTCCAGGGAGCCCATGAGACTGAAGCTGAGAAGCAAGCTGAGGACACAGAAGATTCAAGTGATGAAGATGATACTGAAATACCTCTAGGGGCTGTTATAACCCATGCCCCAGTCTTATTCCAGAGCCCCATTGGTAAGGTTCTTTATTTCTACTTTTTAAAATAATTTATTTAATTTTATTTTTTGTGCATTAGTATGAATGTGTCTGATTCCTTGGAAATGGACAGCTATGAGCTGCCATGTGGATGCTGGGAATTGAACCCAGGGCCTTTGGAAAAGCAGGCAGTGCTCTTAACCACTGAGCCATCTCTCCAGCCCCTATTTCTACTTTTTGAGACAGCTTCTTGTGAGATTGGCCTTCAACTCACTGCATTATAACTGTTCGGGCTTTATATGTCTGCCTCCATTCTGAATATTGACACAAAGACTTGGCCTTTGGCTTAGGCTTGCTCCCCAACTAGCTCTTTACTTAAATGGACCCATTTCTATTAATCTATATTTTGCCATGTGGTTCTTTACCTCCCCTCAGTTTCCTCCTTGTCTCATAGGCAGAATCCTTTTCCCTTTCTTCCCAGAGTTCCTATCTCTGCAGAAGTCCTGTGTATTCTGTCCTGCCTTTGCTATAGGCTGTTCAGCTCTTCATTGAACCAATCAGAAAGTCAGAAAGTGATGGATAACAATGTTTTAAAAACATTGAGACAGGTGATGCTTAACAACACCAAAGTCCATTCTGTACTCTGCTCTCTGCTGGTAGAGAAATCAGCATTTAAATATACAAGGACAACTTTTACACAGTGAACAAAGACACCAGCCAAAAATGCATAGCCAAGCACGGCCTTAAACTCCTCATCCTTCTGCCTCTACTTCCTAAGTGGTGGTATTACAGTTGTGTGCCTCCATGCCCACCTAAGGTTCTTTCAGTTCTTATGATATAAATAGCATAAGGGAGGCTATAGGATTTAAGGGAAAACCATGAGATTGAGAATGGGGACCTACCCAGTTTCCCTCAGTTCTTATCTTTCTTCCCCGTTTCCTATCAAAACAGCTCAGTGAGAAGATGCAAATTATTAATGTGGCTTCCTTCCTCACACTGCAGCATCACTTGAGAAGGTTGCAAACTTTGTAGACTTGCTATCACTTTCATGTGCTGCTAGCTGATTTAACGCAAGTTACTTACCTCTTAAATCTGTTATACATTAAGAGCTTTGGCTGGGGGTGTAGTTTAGTGGTGGAGTGTTTGCTTGTTCAACATGTCCCAGCCCCTGGCTTAGTAATCATTCACACTGCAAATAAAGCAAACACTACATTACAAGGTCGATATAACTGAGGTACTGGTAAAACACCCATTATAGTGCTAGGCACATAGAAGGTATTCAATAAGTAATAGTCATCACTTCTGTAAATCTTACTGATCAGCATTCTGATATTGCATTCCATATTAATATTTCACTAAAATGTTGACTTCTGGGTTTGGGAAATATTAAATAACCTTCTGAGTTGCACAATTTCCCTATTAAAGATTCCAAGATCTCAGTCAATCTGGCAAATCTCTATTTTATGGACCAAGTGTTAAACTTCTAGGCTGACGCTCAGTATTTTGCTCAGATTTAGTCCAGGGAGTTCAGGATCCAAAGTTAACCTGAAACATGTCAATGAGTGCAAATCCTCATTTGCTTTTTAGAATGTGAAAAAGTTGCCTAGTTATGCTAAATTACAGTATTTTTGCAACTTTAGGTTTTAGAGAATTTCTAGGGGAGCTTTTCTCTTTTGAGGTCCTTTGTTCTTTAAAAGATGCTAAGTATTTTTTCTTCCGTTTTCCCCCTCCCCAACATACATTGAAATGTGAGGGGGAGGGGATTTACCAAAACTATTTCTGGATATAGAAATTTCCCAGGAAGTGTTCCTGGATGTTTCTTTTTAATCCCTTTCATCACTGGCAATGGATGAGACCACGGTATGACTGAGGGGTGACAGATGACAGTGGAAAGTGTCTTTCTGTAAACAGAGAAATCATCTGGTAACTTCTTGCTGCTTTGAGTTTGAGATTTGTAATGTAAATAGCAATTTGGGGACAAGAGCTTTCCTGTTTTATTTTATTATTATTTGAGACATAGTGTCACTATGTAGCCCTGGCTGGCCTGGATCTTGCTTTGTAGACCCAGTTGGCTTCAAATTCATAGAGATCCATCTGCCTGCCTCTTCCTCCCAAGTGCTAGGATTAAAGTGTGCACCACCAGACCCAGTTTGAAAATTTTTCAAATACCTTAAAATATTATATCTGTCCATGTGTGGGCTATGCACATGTGAGAACAGGTGTCTAAGGAAACCAGAGGCGTCCAGTTTCCTGGAGCTGGAGTAACAGGAGGCTGTAAGCCACCTGATATTGATGCTGGAAACTGAACTCATGTCCTCTGAGCCATCTCTCTAGCACCTCCCATGTTTTCTACATTTATTTATTTATGGGGCACATATGAATGGCACATTTTTGGGGGTCAGAAGACAATTCATGGAATTGGTTCTCTAATTCCGCTGTGGGTTTTCTAGGAATTGAACTCAAGTCATCAGACTGAGCAGCCAGCACCTTTCCATGCTAAGCCATTTTATACGCCCCCCCCCCCCCCGTATACCTTATGAATTCAGATGGGAAACTCACTGACCATTTATTCCTAACATCTAATGTAATGTTTGTTTCTCCCAGGTTTGCTTTGTTGTTGTACATATAATTAGGAAAATGAATGACTTCAAATTGTGTTCTTGTATTAGGTTTTGAGGCTGGATTTGATAATGAAGAGAATCCAAAATGAGATATTTCTGAGGAAGTGAGGCTGCACAGGACATTACTTGCAAGGTCTGAAAGGAAAATTCTCCGTCACGTTAATCATAAAGCTAGTAAGAACGAATGTTCATCAGCAAGCCAGTGGGAAAAGACACAAATAGAGAAAAAAAGAAAACTGGCATTCGCAGAGAAGAGTGTAGGTAAGGTCCTGACTTATCAGAGACCAGGCTTGGGAGACAGACCCTATAAATATCCCAGATATGGCAAAAACTTTGGCTCTAAGTCCCAGCCCATGAATCAGGCATCCCATCAGGTAGAGAATCCTTATAAATGTACTGACTGTGGGAAAAGTTTCAGTTGGAGTGCACGCCTCGTCAGACACCGAAGAATCCACACTGGAGAAAAACCTTATAAGTGTCTTGACTGTGGGAAAGGTTTCCGTGATAGTTCCAATTTCATTACCCACCGGAGAATCCACACAGGAGAAAAACCTTATCAGTGTGGTGAATGTGGAAAACGCTTCAATCAGAGCTCAAGCCTTATAATTCACCAAAGAACCCACACAGGAGAAAAACCGTATCACTGTGAAGAATGTGGAAAAAGTTTTAATAACAGTTCTCATTTCAATGCACATAGGATACACACAGGAGAGAGGTCCCACGTGTGTCCTGACTGTGGTAAGAGTTTTAGTAAGAGCTCTGACTTATGTGCACATCACCGAACCCACATGGGAGAGAAGCCTTATAGGTGCTGTGACTGTGGCAAGTGCTTCAGTAAGAGCTCTGCCCTTAATAAACACCAAGAGATCCATACACGAGAAAAGCAGCTGGCACAGTCAGTGTTTGAGTAAGCTCCTGAGGAAGGGCCTCAGTAAATGTACTGTTAGAACAGTCCTCTCTGTGCCCAGCCAGCTTAGGGAGCACTCCTCTGTATTTTTGCCATTGTTTATTTCTTATGCTTCCAGATCTAGATGAGGCAAATGTCAGTTTGAAGATAAAAAGTAGATTTTGGTCTGAACTGGTGGCAGTACCTCTTCCCCCTCAGTGCCCATGTTGTCCCTTAAAGATGACACAGTAGTGTAGACCTCCTGTATCTCCTTCACTCAGTGCACCTCATCCTGTGCGTCCTGTCATTCAGTGCACTTCAACAAGAAAACCGATCTCAGCAGCTTTTCAAAAAGTTGTGAGACTCTGCTCATTAATTGGGCCACTTTGCTCACTTAAACCTGTGTATACTCTTGTCTTTAAGGAATTTAAAGTCCATCGTGGTTCTATCTGGGGCTGGGGAGGTAGCTCAGTGGTAGAGCACTTGCCTAGTATGCACAAGGCCCTGGGTTCACACCACACACACAAAAACAGAGCGAGAGCGTGAGAACAGGGGGTGGTGGTGCAGATAGTTAGGGAAACAATGTAAGCCTCTATAAACACTGAAATAGTTTCTTTCGGATTCTACAGGATTATAATAGAATATACGTCATTTATAGCATTTTGTTTGAATTTTCTCTTTTCTTTCCCCTCCTTTCCTTCTCCCCTTCATCAAAATTTCATCTGTCCCTTGTAGACTAGAAGCCAGAAGAGCAAACTAGGGAAGTGATAGGAAAAGCAGTTAAAGCCGTCAAAAAGAGTTACCTATTTTTCCTACACTCCACACACCTAGTATCGTGTTATATAGCCTGTGGGTGCTCCATACTAATTGTAAGGACACACACACACACACACACGGTAAAAGTATTTACTTAAACACAAAAGTAATTACAGGTTTTCACAATCAAATGGTATTGAATTAATTCCCATATATTTAGAGATGTATGATAAGCCCTGTACAGTACAGGGGAAAGACCCTTGTCCTTATATTGGGAAACAAAAGTACATGGACAAATGGGCACAAATATATGTCGCAACATTTACTATTTTTTAAAGACAGGGTCTCACTATGTAGCCCTGGTTGACCTGGAACTCACGATGGAGATTACACTGGACTTGAACTCACAGAGATCCAATTGCTTCAGTCTTCAAAGTGCTAGGGTTAAAGGTGTGCATTACCATGACAGGCTACAGCTGTTTTAAAAGAAATTTCGTAAGCTTAGTAGTATTACTACACAAGACATAAGTTTCAACCTAACTTGCTCTGAAAAAAAATCTGGAAAGCATTTTTTCAGGAAACAGTAAGCATTCAAAGGAAGGAAAGTAACTAGGTAAATTAGAGTGGGACAGATTTTTCCAAACTAGTTGTAAAATTGGTGCTAGGAGAATAAGGAAATGGGAAAAAAGCAAAGCAAAGGACAGAAGATATTAAGTTCACTAAAGCTCAAAGGAGGAAAAAAATAATGAATGCATGATATAGCTGTACAACAGGCTGAGAATCAACTTAGCAGAGACAGGGAATGTTAGAGGGAGACGCTGAGTTGTACTGTGCCATGCTTACTGATGACAGGAAAAAATAGGTTTTAAGAGATTAGCTCATTTGGGAGATAAACAACAGAAATTACTATCTATTGAAGATACTTTGATGAGGTCAGAGAAAAGGTGAACATGGCCAGATGGCCAAGACCTGGAACAACTAATTCTCACATTTATTAAAATATCCATGGCTAGATTAAGATCTGAGATAGTAGTGAGGATATAGACTATTCTAAAATTTATTAGGATGAGAAATTAATTAGGGTTCTGCTATTAAGGAATTCTAAACAAAGAACTAACAGCAATTAAGGGAAAATGGTATCTCAGTTATGCTGCCCATGAAGCAAGAAGGTGCAAGAAACCCCTGTCTGACTCAGGGCCTCAGGATCTGAGATAGCTCTGGAAGTGAGTTACGATGTCAAGGAAAATGGGATTATTATCTTTAGTATTAATCTGTCTATGTATAGCACTGTGAAAAAAGCTTTAGGGTATTAGCAGACAGATGGTTCCAAATGTCTTGTGTATATGTTAAACTGCTTCTGTGTCTCTTCCTGTAAAGCGGAATCATGTTTATATCTAGTCTGCCTCTCAGGGCTATCATGTTAATAAAAGCTATGTACATAAAGTGCTCTGTTTTTCTTTAGGTATTTCAGTGCAGATTTTATATATGCAAATTATATAAAATTATTAGCTTGGTTAAAGTTCTTATGATCAAACAGTGGATGGCAGGAAAATAAATTCTCTGATTTTTTTTTCTTCTTGTTATTATAAGTGACCTGTCTAGATCTTTACATTGTGGGCAAAGGAGCAAATTAAAATCAAAGCTAACCGGGCAAGATTTTAAATTATACAGGACCAACCCATTAACTTAGAAATGAGAAGAGTATACAAAAGAAACAGTGTGAACACTATTACTAGAGGGAAACCCAGTTTATCTCAGACTACCTCACAAACAAATACTGCCCAAATAGCCTCTGCCATTGCTGAGGATGGAGAGAACCAAAAGGAAGCCCAAGAGACGGCACTAAGGGAGAACAAGAGGTCTAGGCCTCTAACCCTGTACCATCTACAGTCTTGCGGAAGAGGCATGCAGAGAAATGTGCATTAGTAAAACAATATTGTCATCTGCTCTCGGATTTCCCTAGCACTGTTATTCTATTCCCATATTTTCTCATTGAATATATTTTACACTTTAGTTTTGTGTCAGTTTTATTCTATAACACTTTGAAGACTATAAACACCTACATTGAGGGTAAAGATGTAGCTCAGTAGAGTACTTGCCTAGCATGTGCAAGACCCTGTATTCAATTCCCCAGCACAGCACATTTTATGATAAAACACCATAACCAAAACTACTTGAGGAAGAAAGGGTTCATCTCCTCCTTTTATTTGTAGTCCATCATCCTGGGAAACTGACGCAGGAACTGAAGCTGAAGCAATCGAGGAGTGCTGCCTACTTCCTTGCTCCTCAAGGCTTGCTCAATTTCCTTTCTTATTCTACCCAGAACCACCTGCTGAAGGGTGACATTACCCTCTGTGAGAAGGGCACACTGATCAAGCACTGATAAGGCCAATCTGGTGGGAGCATTTATCAGCTGAGGGTCCTCTTTCCAAATGACTCTAACTTGTGTCAAGTTAAAAAAAACACACACACACACAAAAAAACAACAACAAAAAGCTAACCAGGACATTTGTTATCTGTTAAAGTCTTTCTTACCATTCAGAGCCAATCTTAGTTGTCCCTTGTCATTGGCTAAAGTGGCCATGGTATATATGTATTTATGTAAGCCTGTGCCTGTGGACCATCATGTGGGCATAGGGTCATAGGAGATCTAAGAATCAGGATTCTTCTAGGGAAGCCACAATAATGCCTATAGAAGGAATGTCTTGTGTCTGTGTGGAAGCATCACCCATCAATAAACGGCTAATGACCTGTGAGCTGAGGCAGAAATAAGAAGGTGGGAGCTCTGGAAAGAGAGATAAACTCTGAGAGATAGTCAGAGGGGAGATATGCCCCAAAACTCTGAAGATAGACATATGAAACTGAGCAGAGGTAACTAGCCACGTGGCAGAACTTAGAATAATGATGGGACATTAGTTATGAGCAAGTCAGGGAGCATGCCTAGCTATAATGGCCAAGGCTTTTGTAAATATATTTAATCCTCAGTCATTATTTTGGAAAGTGGGGTGCATGAGGAAAATGTGTTTACAGCTACCATTACTAAAAAGGTCTTTTAAGTAAAAGTCCTGGTAGCTTACACAAAGGAAGCCAAATAGAAGCTGATTTTAAAACAGAAGCTCCAGCCAGGCACCTTTCTCACTTTGAGACAGCAATTCTTTCCTTTTCTTACACTGAAGTAATTACTTCAACCCCTTTTATAGATTTCTAAAGATACTCTGAGGAGGGCAAAGCCAGGTCCTAGCTCTGTTACTACAGAGCCACCTTACAACTAGGCACTCACACAAATGCTGTGGGTGTGCAACGTGATCTGACATAACAGCCTTGAGAAATAATACTTGAAAGGGTAAAAGGAAGTGGAAGGAATCTGATTAAACCTAACAAAACATACAGGTTTCCCCGTAGACATACAGCTTCAACTTCCCAGAAGTTTTATGGTCACTTTGGAGAAGGAGTGAAAGTGAAAGAAGAAAGTCACTAGTGGAATGAGGGATTCTGTTAACAAACAACCCTCCAGCAAGCAGCATGGAGGTAAAGCCATGCAAGACCTCAGGGCTCTTGCTGAGCACTCAGCATATGACGGTGTGGAGTTAAGACCCCATATATATTTGGCTGCTCAGGGCAAGTATTGGACAGTTCACGGAGTGGGATGTGGCAAGAAGATCTTGGTTACATTACATACTCAAAAGTAGTTTGCCTCATCACAGCTTAGAAGTGTAACACTTTGGGCTTCAGGTGGTTCCATCTCTTTCTCAGTTCAGCCCTGGTGTTGTCAGAAGCAAAGATGTAGTTGATGGATTCAAAAGACAGATCCCACACCTGAGATGGGGTCAAATTAAATGTTTCCGCTGCCAGCTGATATTCTTGAGAAAGGTATGTTGCAAAAACACCTTTATCATCGGTCTGCCAAAGTAAACAAGAACAGTTCAAAATAAACAAGTGTTTTGCGAAAATTACCTTTTTTGTTGAGAATCTGCTGGGGTACTTGGTGTAAAGTGTCTCTGTATACTCGATTGTTGACTGCTGAGCTGCCAGACAGCTAGCGGATCTTGATGTTATTTCTGTGGCCTACCATGAATGTTTTGTAAACGTTCATCCTTTCTCACTGTTTACTGCATGTAATAAAGATCTGATGGCCAATAGCTGGGAAGGAAGTGGAAGGCAGAACTTCCAGGAGAGTGTCTGGGAGAAGAAAACAAAGTTGGGAGATCCACCAGTGGGACACAGAGGCAAACAGAAGGACGTGAACAGGAACAGAGAGGTAGAGCTGGCCACATGGCAGGACACAATGCTTCTATCTGGGTTAAGCTAGAACCTGCCCAGCTAAAACACCTAAGCTTTAAAATATTAAAAAGCCTCTGGGTCTTTATTCGTACTGCTGGCGGGTCCGAACTCCCGCTCTAAGAATCTACTTTCTCATTTCAGGAATCTAAGCAGGAACTTATAAATGCACATCTTTAACAAACTTATATATATATGTATGTGTATATATATATGAAAGACCGGAGTGTTTCAACCTGGCTTTTTAAAAGCACATGAAGAGCTTTTAAAAAGCCAGGCGCAGTGGTGCTCACCTGTAATCCAGCACTCAAGGAGGCAAACATAGGCAGATCTCAGTGAGTTCAATGACAGCCTGGTCTACGAAGCAAGGGTTATATAGAGAAAGCCTGCCTCAAAAAACCAAAAAAGAGCTTTTAAAGGATAGCTATGCCCAGAACACATCCAACATCAAATAAAGCAGAGTCCTGTGGGATGGGCACTGGGCACCAGCATTTTAAAAAAGCTTTCCCAAATACTGCCCTACTGCTTCTCAGAACCAAAGGGGAATCACCTGAGCCCTTTGCAGTCTCTTCTTCCCCAACCCCCTCTAGCTCTGCTTCAGGAACTCAAGGCAGTCAGCAAGATAATAAACATGACTTAATACAATGTAGCAACTTAAAAGGAGAAGAAATATAATACTTCTTACACAGATCACAGAAGGATGAGCAATGCTGTACCAGAATCCAAAGTGATGCTGGTCATAAGAAGGAACTGTCTGGCTTTTGATGTTTGAGGTCAAACAAAGTTCTAGAAGAAAGGGGAAAGTCCTATTAGAAGCAACAAGGAACTCATCCAGTGATCATCAGGCAGATTCACAAGAAAACTCCCAAACTCTGCTGACTTAAGCAATTGCATTATTCCACAAAATGTACTGCTCATTATATGTAATGTGAAATTGTAGTTCCAAGTTGGGGTGTACCTTAGCAGAAGAGGGCCAATCCTTCCCAGCACTACAAACACACAAAGTGCACTTCAGATAAGGCACTTGTGCAGTTATGTGTTGTGGCTGAGACAGCCGCTGTGCCAGGCAGGGAGTTAATGTTCTCTTCACAGTGATTTGCTTCTCTTGCTCCCAGATGGAAAGAAAGATTATAGGCCTGGAATACAATCGGCCTGTCTGGATTGTTTTAAGACAAGGTCTCTCTATGAAGCCCTCACTGACCTGGAACTTACTCTGTAGATCAGGCTGGCCTTGAACCCACAGAGATCCACCTGCCTTTGTAGTGCTGGCATTAAAGGTGTGCTATCATGTCTGGCCCAAGACTGTTTTTGTTTTGAGATGTATCTGCTGTCTTCTGATGTGTGTCTTCTGAAGGAAACTGCCTGCTTTGTTTATTGCTCTATTGTCAGCAAATGGTGCAGTGACAGCAACAAACTCATCCCTTCATTAACATTCACAGCCAAGTGTGTAATGGTCAGTCAGTATGCAAAAATATGTCTACAGTTTCCCTAATTTTTGACATTTTTAAAATTAAAAATACATTTAAAATGTATGTGGATGTTTTGCCTGTGTTATCAGTGTCATTTGTGTGCCTGGTACCTGAGAAGGCCAGAAGACAGTGTCAGCTCTCCTGGCTACAATTCCTAATTTTAAAATAAACGTTTTATATTCCCATAACACTAATTTCATATTTTTTACAGTTAGAGAGAGAGAGTGAGGACCTATGAGTCACAAGACAGAACTCAGGTAATCAAGGTTGGCAGGATAAATCCCTCCCCATGAACCATCTCACTGTACCCATGTGTTCATTTATTATAGTCATCTTCAAAATTATAAATGACCTTTATTTTTTATTTTATTTTAGAGATCTACTGATATTTTTAATTTTAAAAAAAATTTCCTGTATGTGAGTCTATGCATGTGAGTATTGGCTCTTGAGGGGTCCAGAAGAGGGCATCAGATGCCCTGGAGCTGGAGTTACAGGCGGTTGTGAGCTGCTGGATGTGGGTGCTGGGAACAGAACTCTGTTCCTCTGCTTAAGAACACTGAGCCATCTCTCCAACTGACCTTTATTTCTTAAACAACAAAAACAAAAACCCAACAATGACAGGCTGGAGAGATGGCTCAGGGGTTAAGAACACTGCTCTTGAGTTCGATTCCCAGCAACCACATAGTGGCTCACAACCATCTATACTGGGATCTGATGCCCTTTTCTGTCATGCAGGTGTACATGCAGATAGAGTACTCATATACATAAAATAAATAAAATCTTAAACAAACAACAACAACAATGACAATAACAAAAGACTGAATTCCCAGCACTAGGGGAACACAGAGACAATATAAAAGAGAACCCGTACCTCCTGAAACTTATCTTCTAACAGAATCTAAAACCTTCAGCACTTAAATGAGACCCAGAAAGCACATACATCATGTGTCTTAATTTGTAAACATCTGAATTTTAGAACGGTGCTTTTCCACATAAATCTTGCAATCTGTGGCCTGGAGGAAGAAGGGCTAAAGGATCTGGGCAACATGAAATTCTAAGTCTTACCAAGAGGTATCCGGTGTTGTCTCACAAAGTCCAGCTGATCCAGGGACCCTCCCACAGAGGAGTTGAGGAATGTCCCATGCCCAATTCTGTCAGGAAGCAGATCCAGTAGCATCTGTGTTTCTTTTTCATTATCTGGAATCTTCAGAAAAGTGAGAAGAGGGGGTCTATGTCCTGTGCCAGTAACTGAGGTATTTTATTCTGCCCTCTGAGTAGTGAATGACAACATTCTTAGGAAACATAATTACTTAAACCTTCTCACACTTTCTCAGCTCTATCAAATCCTTCATGGCCCAATACTGTTACAAAGTGTGAACATAAATAAAAGCTAAGAAAAACAAATTTCCAGAAACAAAGTAAATCCCCTTAATTCTATATGTGTGTATGTATGTGTATACATGTGTTCACATATATTAGAAAAAAAGTAGAAAAGTATACACACCAAATTTAACATCACCTCGTGGGAGGATTTTACATCCTTTTCTTTTGGTGCTGTAGTTCCTTATCATTGAAATTTCTTCAGATACACAAAACTTTCAGTCAAAAATTGGGGGTTGGAGAGATGGCTCAGCAGTTAAGAGAACTGACTGTTCTTCCAGAGCACCCAGGTTCAATTCCCAACACCTCCATGGCAGCTCACAACTGTCTGTAAATCCAAGATCTGACTCCCTCACACGGACACACATGCATGTAACACCAGTGCATGTAAAATAAAATAAATTAAAAAAACATGAAGTATTTTTGGAAACACTGTTCATAATCTGGGATAGTAGGGTTAAGAGTAAAAATCTAACTTCATCAGACTCTAAGGCCAAACACTCACCTCAGTGTGCTCGAATTTTATATTGACAAGCTTATCTGTGGACATACCACAAACAGGAAATGTCTAGCTATGCTCATTTTCTCCTAGATGGACTAGAAGACAAATGACCAGAACATTTTTTTTTTCTTTTTTTTTGGGGGGTGGGGTAATTCAAGACAGGGTTTCTCTGTGTAGCCCTGGTTATCCTGGAACTCACTCTTAGGTCAGGCTGACCTCAAACTCAGAGATCTCCCTTCCTCTACCTCCCAGGTGCTGAGAATAAAGGTGTGTACCACCATGGCCCAGATGACTAGAACATTTTTAAATGAACTATATTATATTCAATGCAGCAAATAAGAAACTAAGATAATTAGCAGATTCTGATCCTGAGCACAGGCCAGAGATAACACAATGTAATAGGAACCATAAAAACTTAAAAACAATAACATTAAAGCAAATCATGCCTTAATGTTTTAATTAACATTTAAAATTACTTCCAAGTCCCCCTTTTAAAATGTCTTCTAAATATCATAGAGACACATGCCTGCAATCCTTAGTACTAGGGAGGTAAGGAACAGAAGGATCAGAAGTTCAAGGTCATCCTCAGCTACAGAGTAAATTCCAGGCCAGTCTCAGTTACATGAGACCCTGATTCAAAGAAAGAAAAGAAAAAAAAAATGTTATCCCCAAGATAACATTAGGCTTATTTCTAATTCCTTATAAACAACTCTATTATTTAAATTATAATCTGCTCTCTCGGGCTGGAGAGATGGCTCAGCAGTAAAGAGCACTGAGTGCTATTCCAGAGGTCCTGAGTTTAATTCCCAGCAACCACATGGTGGCTCACAACCATCTGTAATGGAATCTGATTCCCTCTTCTGGTGTGCATGAAAACAAAGTATATGTTCATACACATACAATAAATAAATAAATCTTAAAAAAAATAATTTGCCCTCTCCACTCTATTACATTATTATTTACCTCTGCAAGATGCAACGCCAACTTCAGGCCTGCTTTTTTAGCTTCTAAAAGAGGTTCCAAGAAGTCTTTTGCTTGTCCTACCTTGAAGATAAAATGAGGGTGCATGAGACAAATGAGCAAATTGAGGGATCTGGTGTTCTGCTCCAATACAGGGATGAAACGTGGGCAGATTGTTTTCATCTGAACCTTTTGCTTGCAGAGAGCCTATAATGTGCTGGGCACTTTAGGGAACACACCATGGAGAGGATCTCCCTGGCCTTGAATCCAGTATCACTGAGCTAAGGTAAATAAGCAAGTTGAATCCAGTATCACTGAGCTAAGGTAAATAAGCAAGTTGGATCTAACAGGCCAAAATTTTTATTCCTGAAAGACACATAGATGCTTAGTATTATGGAAAACTCACTTGATTTAGGAAGCTTTCATGATTAAAAGACATACACACAAAATTACAAAGAACAGACAAAAATCAGAGAACAGACCACAACAAAGAATTATTTGGTCCCAAGTATGAAGACTTTTGTTTGAATCTTTCACTCAGAAAGCTCATGCAACCTTTGTCTCGGGGGGAGGGGTTATGCTATAATTACTCTTAATATCTGTATCTATCCATCATACATAACAGAATTAACTTCTGCACACTGAGACTGACTAGTTGTATACTGTCTTTAGAAGGACGGAGAAAAGTGGTCATAATCCAATAACACCTATACCCTATGGTATTTCTTTCAGGGACCCTTAAGAAAAGCTACACTATATATTCTGTTGATCTAGGACAGAACAGAGCTTCATTTGGAGTCTGCTGGAACCTAATGCATGATGCTCCAAACTAACCTCGCCCCACTGGCTGATTCTGCCTTTAGGAGATAAGATATAGTGACTTACAGTAGGGTCTCCACTGAGGTCAAGGCCAAGAACTGTATCCCCAGTAGAAAGGAAGAACTCTTTAGCGAGTTCAACGGTCTCCTTGGCTGCTCTCGGGCCACCTCTTCTGTCAATTGCCATCAGATATCTTTAATATAAGAAAACCACAGTTGATACCAACCTGGCAGGAAGATATTATGATTAAGAAAATCCCAGTTGAAGTGAGACATGGGTGCAGGTGTGCCTATAATCAAAGTGTCTGGAAAGTGGCGGCAGGAAGTTCATCCTCAGCAACAATGTGAGTTCAAGGACAGCCTGGGATGCATGAAACCTGTCTCAGAAAAGCCAAAATGAAACAAAAACCTCCACCAATTTAAAACCAGCTAATCCCAGAAAATGCTACCTTTAGTCATATGCCTTTTCCTTACACACTTAGCTGGCTCATTGAAGTTACTTAGTACAAAGCCACCAGAAGAGTAAGAGCAACTCAGAACCACAAAAATATCAGAGAATGTGTGGTTTGAGGCCAGCCTGAGCTACAGTAGTAGGTCTAGACCCTGTCTAAAACAAAACAACACAACAACAAAAAATCCACATTTGAAAACCTATAATGCATATAAAAAAGACAAGTGTGACTGTTACCAGAAGAATGACCAGCTTCTTGGAATACACCGCTATGGAAAGTCGTGAGTCTAACGGCGCTCTGTTTGCTATACAGAACAGGACGTGAATGCTTAAGTGGTACCAGGGTCTAGTCTGTTCAAATTCCCAAGTAGCTCATTTTTCTGTTCGTATCTTTAAGGCTTTTGATGTTAGCTTGATTCAGGATCTAAATGAAGTCTACTTTTTGTTAGTCACCGTATCTTTTATCTCTCTTTTTGAAGTGTATTATGTAGGGGTGTGTGCGTTCTCCTTCGCAGGAACACAAGTACAGCTGGAGTGTGTGTGTGTGGAGTACATGAAGGTCAGAGGAAAACTGGATGTGGGTCCTTAAGCACCTTTCACCTTTTGCCTGAAACAGTCTCTCACTGGCCTGGGACTTTCCCATGTAGGCCAAGCCAGCTGGCCTGTGAGCTTCCAGGGATCTGCCTGTTTCCAACTCCTATCTCATCATTCTAGGATTACAGCAGGGACATGCAGCTTTTCTTAGAACATGGGGGCTCTAGGGATTTGAACTCATGTCCTCACATTTGCTAGGCAAGTTCTTTACCAGCTGAGCCATCTCCACACCTCCTTAAGTCTCTTTTATACTCACTTCTCTCCCATTCTCATTTCCATCCTACCTCTTTTCTTGTAATTTGTTTGTTTGAAAAAAAAAATGTTTGCTTGTCCTACGTTTCTCACTGACTGGATTCTGTTGACTGCATCCCCGTGTTAACATGTTCTCTTGTATTTTCTATAAAGTGATAATTGGACCTAATCTAGAAGCTTAATTAGATCAGATTTAGTTTTTTTTTTTTTTTTTTTTTTTCAAGAATAAATAGGTGATGAAGCCAGGCATCATGGCACATACCATAATCCCAGCACTTGAGAGGTAAAGGCAGGATACAGGAGTTCAAGGTCAACCTTGTCTATATAGCAGGTTCCAGGCCAGTCTGTGCTACTTGACTACAAAAACAAAAACAAAAACAAAAACAAAGGCTTGCTTTGCTCAAAGTACTGGAGATTGAGTGGTGAATCAACAAAGCCGCTGGCCTCTCTGAACTTACACTCGAGGCAAAGGGTGTATATATTTCATGACAATATAAATGAATGCCATAGGGGAACATGGGTAAGGAGGGGATTTGGAGGCAAGAAACATTTTGGACGGACTGGTCAAGAGGCCTCTCTGATGAAATAACAGCCAAAATGAGGCCTGAATAATGAGAAGGTAGCTGTGTAAGGACTTGGTTGGAGGGCATGAGTGCCAGTAAGTGCAAGGCACTGAGATAGGTGGATAGTCTTAGTTTATAGGAGAGAGTAAACTAATATGGACTCAACAAAGGGGATTGGGTTAGACAATGATTGAAGAAAGTCAGCCAGATTATATGGGAATATGTGGGTAGCTATAAAAAGTCCACTTCAGCTTAACAGCAATGAGAAGCCACACTCAAATTGAGTATATATACTGGATTTTATTGCCAGATAACTAAATTCAGAACTGTGTTCTCATCTTAAGCAACAGGGTTCTTGATTCTACTTTTTTTTATTGTAGGTAAAAAGGTAAATAGTTGATTTTAAGGAAATTCATTACATACATTCATTTATTTATTCACTCATTTATTTATTTACTTGTGGCAAGGGTTCTCTGTGTAGGCTTGGCTGTCCTAGACTCTCTCTGTAGACCAGGCTGAACTCCCAGTGATCCACCTGCCTGTGCCTCCCTGAGTACTGGGATTAGAGGCATGCACCACCAGGCCCGATAATCCATCACCTTTAGAAGACAGTAAAACATCACATTCTATTTTTTTTAAGGGTATTAAATATAACATTTTCTTACCTAACATCAATATCTAAGTTTTCTTGTTTGCACTGTTTTATGCCTTCAAGTATGGATTCCACGTAAGACCTCTTAGTCATTCCTTGAAAGAGCACAGAGGAACACATGTGAAGACATTAGCACTTACATCATCTTTCATACAGCATCACTGAATGAACATCACTCTATGCCAGGGCTAGGGCCTGGTTACAGATGAATGAAGTGTGACCTTTAGGAAAACTTTTTTAAAAACTATTTTATCTTGAGAGAGAGTGTATGTGTGTGTGTATGACAGAAGTGCATGAGTACCCAAAGAGGCCAGAGAAGGGTGTCAGCTCTCCTGGAGCTGGAGTTACAGGTTATGGTGAGCTATCTGATATGGGTGCTGAGAACCAAACTGGTCCTCTGCAAGGGTAGATGGGCTCTTAAATGCTGAGCCATCTCTCTGGCCCCAAGGGGGAACATTTTTGTATAGTACTCTGTCTGTCTGTGAACCTGTAGATTAAGATGTCATGTTTGCTAAGTAAATGCTCTCCAACTGAGTCACATTCCCTAAAAGATGTAGCCCAGGCTGGCCTCAAACTCATGATCCTCTGGCTCCTACCTCTTCAAAATACCCTACCAGTACGTGCTATCACGGCAGGCTGTCTCAGTTAGTGATTGTTTGGGGATGGTCTTGTGCACTGTGTATTCAGATGCTGATTTCTGTGTCTAGAGAGCTGGCTGCAGTCCATCCGGATGTGGGCATTGTCATTTCTATGAAGAATCTCCTGGCTCAATGTTGTATAAAAATTGTTCTCCATAATCTCTGATTGGTTAATAAAGAGCTGATCAGTCAACAGCTGGGCAAGAGAGGAGAGGAGGCAGGACTTCAGATCCCAGTCAGGGAGTTTCAGGTGCAGGACAACGAGAAAGGAGAGAGAGTGAAAAGGGGGCCATGAGGAATTCACCCTGAGGACAGACAGATGGAGCAGAAGCAGCTACGGCAAGATTAAGATGGCAAGTAGCATGGTGCACATGGCCAGGCTAGCATAGACAGGTCAGAATAGAACACCATCTGCCCAGTTGTAGTGCTTAAAGCTTATCAATGAATGTAACAGGTCTCCGTGGCATTATTTGGGAGCTACAACGGGCATAGAAAAAGCCCCTATTTACACTATATTTCTAAAAATGATAACAGCACTTCAATAAAATTGAAAAGACAGAGTTAAAGGAAGAAAAGAGCCAAAAATCAACCTTGGGAATAGTAAGTGCTTTATAAAAATGTTCATAAGCAAACATGAAAGTAATAAAAGACAGAAAACAGAAAAATGACCAAATGACAAGCAATACAAGCCTCACCTGAAAATTAATCTTTGCCCTTTGCCCTCCACATGTATGCTACAGCATGTTCCTCATAGAACAGTAATAATTTCTTAACTTAAAAAATAAGTAATTAGGAGCCAGTCATTGTGGTGCTACCTTAATCTTGGCATCGGGGCCCGATGCAGGAAGATCTGAAGTTTTGGACCAGCTTGGTCTACAAAGACCATTTTAAAAACAAACAAATAAATAAAAAGTTGTTTTTTTTTTTAACTCAGCAGGATCCTCCCCCACCCCATTACAACAACAAACAATCCCAAGTCTCTTCCTCTCAACCCTGCTCTGCATGTGCCTCTGAGATGTCATCCCAAGTCTCAGTGCTCAAGTCCTCCCCTGGGGTGTCTTGCAAGACTGCTCCAGAACAGACTCTAAAACTGCTTCTTACTTGTCATAAATGACTGTTTTTGATGGAAAACTTTCAGTATAACAGAGCATTATATAGAATAAAAAGCAGTAACCACAATCCCACTACTGATCAGTAGCTCTACCTTATTTACTATTGGATACACATGCTTGTGTTTAGCAGATCAACTGCTACTGGTCTTATATGTTCAGTAATTTAACACTGCACTGGGTAATTACACTTGGAAGTGTCTTTGCAAACAGAACTTTTTTTTTTTTTGAGACAGGGTTTCACTAGACTGCCCTGGCTGGCCTTAAACTTAAGAGATCTGCCTACCTCTGACTCCCAAGAACTGGGATTGAAGGCGTGTGCCACCACATCTGGCTGCAAATATTTATTCGTGTTGTATGTATATGTGTGTGTTACCACACATGGGCATGTGCATGACACACTGTATACTTTGAAACTAATTCTACAGTCTAAAACTGTGAATAAGAATCTTCCCATTTCAACATTATTTTTAATAGTTTTAAATTTTAGTCCTTAATTGGCTGTACATGTCATGGTGTAAATTACCTCTCCTGGTCAAGAGAGACTCAGTGGTAATGTACAATATCTCCTGATGAAAAAACAGAACCAAACACATCAACAAGCTCCTAGGCCCCGAGATTCTGGCTATGTAGCCAAGGGTAGGCAGAAACTCACAATTCTTTCACTTTTACCTTCAGATTTTACAGGTGTGAAGCACTATGCCTTATGACACAGCTCTTATAAAGGTTGTATGAAATTCCTACACACCATACCCAGCTCAACTCTGTCCCCGGAGGGTTTAGCTTGCTCCTAACCTAACACTATCAATCTCTAAAGAGTCACTGGATATCGACTTTTCAGTAACTGTCATAAAATAGTATTCTATGGCCACTCAATGACACTATTTCACAAGCGCGGGAACAAGAACAGCCTTAGCTGGAGACAATGCCAGGGTGATATCCTCTGTGTGTGTCTGAGTCTGTGTGTATGTGCAAACCTGTGTGGAGGCCAGAGGACAACCCAGAGGTACTCCGCCTCGGTGCTACTCACTTTGCTTTTTGAGACAGACTCTCATGGCCACAGGGCTTACCCTGGTGACTGGCTGGCTGGCCATCAAGCCCCGGGAATCTGCCTGTCTCCACCTCCCTAGTGCTGAGATTGCAAGAGTACACTGTGCCACCCTTTTTACACGGTTCTGGGTCTTGAACTCAGATCCTCAAGCTTGTAAGGTGAGTACTTTACCAAATCAGCCATCTCCCCATATGTCTGTCCTTTTCTTGAAGAAAAAAGACAAAACCCTAAAGTAGGAAGATGAAAAGATTAAAAGAGGGGCTATTTCCCCTTCTTTATCAAAGCGTGCCTAAGTGGGTTTTCTACTTTGATTTGAGATTAACAAGAATAACAGGGATCCCTGTGGATCACTCACCTACAATGTGTGGGGTCCTGGAACTGAAACTCAGCACATGCGTATTTTTAAAAAGCCACTTTACGCATCACTGATATACACTGTAAGATGTTTTGTTGATGAATAGTGAAAACAAATAGAAACCTGGGTGATCAGAACACATGGCAACAGGACAGTACTTTCACTGAGAAGTAATTAAATTCTACCCGTAGCATTTTCTCCTCGGGGTGTGCTCCTCAGCTCCAGGTACTTGACACCATCATCTGCAAATTCCTTAATGACATCTTTTGTGACCTGATAATAAAAGGCAATGTACACAATGTTGATAATGCTAGAGGAAGGTGCCCAATGAAAAAGTCAAGTGCTGGGGCTGGGGAGACGGCTCAGTGGTTAAGAGCACTGTCTGCACTTCCAAAGGACCCCAGTTCAATTCCCAGCAACCACATGGCAGCTCACAACTGTCTGTGATTCCAGTTCCAAGGGACCTGACGCCTTCATACTAATGCACATAAAATTAAATAAATTATTTTTTTAAAAAAAGGCCAAGTGCCACAGATTCAGGTAGGAAAAAGCATATAGGAAATCTCCAAGATAGCAGGTGTTTCCTGCTTTGTCCATCTCTAATGGAGACTATGTCAGCTCAGCAAGTTTCCATGACCCCATTCCCATGTGAAAAAGTCTGCATGTTAGCCATACTTTCTGTCTCTCTCAGACAGGGTCTCGGGTAGTGTAGGTAGGCCTTGAACTCACCTGATCCTCCTGCCTCTGCCTGCCTACTAGCATGCCTGGCTTTCTCTCTCTTCAAGCCATTCCTTCACAGCCTAGGTTTCTAAGAGCAGATAAAACAGAGAACTGAGTCAGTGCACTGAACCATGCAATGTTTGTATGGTGTTGGGAAATGTACTGACAGAAGTAAACACTCTACTGACGAGACAATTACCTGTGTTGCGTAAGGCCCTGGCTTCAGGCTCTTATGCAAGTTGTTTAGGAATGCCTTGTGTTTTCTACCAAATTCTAACAGGGCTGACTTTTTCTCTGAAACGTTTGGAAGAATTCCCATAGTCAGGAGGCAGAGGCAGGCGGATCTCTGAGTTGAAGGCCAGCCTGGTCTCAACAGTGAGTTCCAAGGACAGCCAAGGATACACAGAGAAACACTGTCTTGAAAAACAAACAAAAATGTTTACTTTTGGCTTTTTAAAAAAAGATTTATTTATTTATCATGTATACAATATTCTGTTTGCCAGGTGCAGGCACCAGATCTCATTATAGACGGTTGGGGGCCACCATGTGGTTGCTGGGAATTGAACTCTGGATCTCTGGAAGAGCAGCCAGTGCTCTTAACTTCTGAGCCACTTTTTTGCTTTCTTAAGAGCAAAAAGTGGGTGCAGACGTTGCTTTGCTATGAATTCACTATATGCTGTCCTGTTAGGTATTGTCTGTAGGATTAGCCAACACTTGTTCTGTGTAGCCCTAGCTGTCTTAGAGTTCTCTTTTTTTAGACCAAGCTGGCACCAAGCTCACAAAGATCCACCTGCCTCTGCCTCTTGAGTGCTGGGATTAAAGATGTGCACCACTACACCTGGCCCAGATTGTATTTTTTTGTCTTTTTTTTTTTTTTTTTTAATGCAGGTGTGTTAGGGATCAAATCCAGGGTCTCTTTCACTCTAGGCAAGCCCTCTACCACTGAACTTTTCACCTAGCCCTAGTTTTTTCCACCCCACCCCCCATTATCTGTCTCCTTTCTTCCTTTCCTCTGCAGGCCTTTCTCTTCTATCATCTCCCTCTGGACACACATAGAGAGAGATGGGGGTTGGGGAGTTGAAGGGAGAGGGATGGAAAGGGAGAGGTGTCAGTCTTGCTATGCAGTCTAAGCTGACCTTGAATTTGTGATGCTCTTAAGTGCTGGATTATAGGCCTGTGTCACATTTTTCCTTACTGACCTGGGCATGGTGGTGAACACCTGCAATCCCAGCATTTGAAAGGTGGAGATGGGAAAATCAGGAAGGCAAGGCCAGCCTCAACTACAGAAAAACTAAGACCAGTCTGGGACACATGAAAAACAAGTAAGAGCAAGGATGGTTTAATAACGGAGTGCTCATCTAAAATCAAATATTTCTCTTTTTTGAAGATTTATTTTTACTTTATTACAAGTGTTTTTCCTGCATACATGTCCCAGCACCGTGTGTGTACAGTGCACAGAGGCCAGAAAAGAATGTCAGATCCCCTGGAACTGGAATTACAGAGTTAGGAACCACCATGTAGGTACTGGGAATCAAACCCAGGTCCTCTGCAAGAGCAGCCAGTAATCTTAACCACTGAGCCATCTCTCCAGCTCACAAGTATTTCTTATGACATGCCATATATAGAAAATGGATCAGGCTTTCCTGTCTATATTATTCCCTATCCAATAGAAAATGCTGATCTTGGTTCTTTCCTCATTTCTTCTCTTTTCCTTCCACTTTCTTCCTCATGTTTTTAAAAAACAGTAACAGACTTTACATTAGCTCTTAAGTCCAATGTCTTACATTGCTTTTTAAGAGTTGTCATGAAAAAAAAAATTAATTGAAAAAGAAAGCAAAACAAAAAATGAAAAAAGAAAGAAACTGGGCAAAAATAAAGAAAACATTTTCATCTGAGACTTGATAAAAGGTCACAGGCAATGTGACATGTCTGCTGCTTTGAAAATTCACACCATTGTAAAACTGCTTCCATGTCTCACCATTAGGATATCCTCAGCATTAGTAGTAAGCTGATGAATAACTTGGAACATCTGGAAGCATCTATAAATGAAGAAAAATGTTTTAATACACTTAGTCAAGAAAAACTCCCTAAACGGAATTAATTAGTAAGTTTGAGGTTAGTAAGTACATAATTATATTTATAAAGCACTACAGAATACATTCTCTTCAAAAATTACATTAATCTAGAAAGACAATTTAATAGCTAAAAATAAACTATTTATTTATATTGTAAAGTATAAAATAATAATTTCCATTCTTTAATCCTCCTAGTAATAGTAAATAGGGAAAAATCAATATGCCTTTATTTTCAAATCTAAGGAACAACTCAATATAGTGTAATATAGTATAACTTAACAAACAGTAGAAATCATTAAAAATACTGTCAGTAATCTGTATGTTAGATTATATTTTCCATGCCCGACGTCTACCCTATTTAAGTGTTAAAATCTGATTCTTAAATATTACAATCTCAAAATACCGACAGTCAGAAAATTCCTACAATCTCCCCAAACTCACTCTTCTAAAGTCCTTTTCTTTCCCTTGTCAATCATGGTCATGTGACTGTGAACATTAAGATGTGGCTTCTTGGCTATTAATTTCTTCATGGTACTGGCACTAATGGAGCCATTCAAGTGGGCATGAAGCTCCTAAAACAAGAGAATACAATCAATAAAAAGTTAACAAGTATCTCCTAGACTCATGGCCTCTTACCAGGCCCTGGTTGCTTGAAGTTTATACTAGACAAGCTACTTGATTTAGCTACACCCCTGCTACAATTTCCACCCATAAAAGTTACTTTTTTGTGTGTGGAAAATAATACAAAAGTCACTCGGCAATAACAAGAACTCTGTAGTTAATTCTTACCACTTTTGGCAATTGCATGTAAAAGTCTGTCTTCCATGGCCACTGCTGTCCTTCTGCCTCCATCATTTTAGTAGGAGGCAAAGATTTCTCTTCACTCTTACTCCTGGCTTGGACGATACACCTTATCAAAGTCAGGATTTCTGAGGCACTGGACTTTCTTCAGATTGTCTTACTTTTATACATATTTTAACAAGACTTGATCTTATGTGTAGGTTTGGGGTCAGTTTCACCTGCATTAACAAATGTAAATATTTTCAGATCTAACATACAAAGAAACACCACTGCTGACACTTCCTTTCGACACCCCTGCTCTCCCCACCCCCACCCCCAAGTTAGCTCAAGAAAAGCTAAGGGAGGTGTGTCTGCATTGGGGAAATAACTGCTAAAGACTATGAACAAGAAAAAAGAAAAACATGTGGTCTCCTAAGAGGTACATTGAAATCCCGAGTTAGTCAACAGCAAGGCTCTCACTTACCTCCTTGTTAGTTCCTTTAACATATCTACTGGATAATGTCAAGTTAACCTGCAGATGAAGCACAAGAAAACTTTTTATTTTGCCTTCATGCTGCACCAACACTTTCCTTAAATGAGCTGGGACTGCCTCTGAAGGCTTGAACTTACTGTCTCCTCTCCTCCCGGTACACCTTGCACTCACCGAGTCATTCTGCCACAAAAACTGTTCTTCTAAGACCACTAACGAGCTCCTGAACACCAAAACATTTTTCAATAACCAAATCTCCATAGAACCTTTTTCTCAAACCAGCTGGACCCCAAAACTCATACTCTTGCGTTAACCATTCTTTAAGTTATCCTTATTTCCTTTCCTAATTAAGCCAGACCAAGTTAATAAATAATAATGTTTCTGCATGTTTGGGAGTGCTTTATTACTGACGTTTCCTAGGCACCGAACGTAGGAACTTTGTTAAAAAACTCCAGCCAGGGTTGCTTCCTTTAAAAAGTGGGGGAGGAGGAACTCGACGTGCCACGGGCGAGGAATCGCATCCTTCCCATTGCTATTCTCAGCGGACATACTCAACACCACACCAGAATCACAGATTTCTGCAAGTGGAGGAGTGTCACTTTACAGCTAAAGACGGGCTGAATACTTTACGAATACTGTAGACCTACCATAGAACTTAGAATACATGAGGATAAACAGCACGGACGGGGGCGGGGGTGTTAAATTATCAATAATTATCTTTTCTCACTTTCCATATAGACTAATTTAATATTTAAATGAGTTCACCCTTGCAACGAGAACATTCAATAAAGGAAAACCCGTTACTTCGTGCAGGGAACAATCTCTCGACTGCTAAGGTCCGCGGTGCTGGTCCTCCTTTGCAGGATCAAACAGAAGTCGGGTCGTCAGCCCCCAACTCACCTAAAAATGTTCTCAAATACGAGGACCTACACAAGTTTGCTTGTTTCTTCCTATAGAAATGTAGTAACTCGAGCTCCCAACACAAGAGCCGTCACCGAAGCAGAGAGAGCGTTCGCGGGAGAATCTAACTGGGGGTGTGTGCGAGGAGTCTCTCGCGGTTTCCGGCGAAGCGCGCCCTGAGCGGAAGTGACGCACACGCGCGCCCGGAAGCGGAGGAGCCGGAGCCCGGTGAGTGCTGTGCTCTGTGGGGGCTTCTGGTCATGGGCCCGCAAGGCCGTGAGCGCCGGGCGGGGACGGTCCAGAGCACCAACGACAGCAGCGCCCTCAGCAAGCGCTCGCTGGCCGCACACGGATACGTACGTGATGCCTTCGCGGCGCTGCTGGCCCCGAGGCCTGTGCGGCGCACGCCGCTCATCCACCGCGGCTATTACGTGCGCGCGCGCGCCGTGCGTCACTGCGTGCGCGCCTTCCTCCGGCTCACCGGCGCGCTCCCGGCCCCGACCAGGGCGCAGATCCTGTCCCTGGGCTCAGGCTCCGACTCGCTTTATTTTCGCCTGAAGGCCGCGGGCCTCCTGGCCCGGGCTGCCGTCTGGGAGGTGGACTTCCCGGACGTGTCTCGGCTCAAGGCGGAGAGGATCGGGGAGACCCCGGAGCTGTGCGCGCTGACCGGCCCTTTCGAGATCGGGGACTCGGCGTCAGCTCTGTGCTTTTCGAGCTCGGACTACCGCATCCTGGGCGCTGACCTGCGGGAGCTCCCGCGGTTAGACGAGGCCCTGGACGGTGCCGGCCTGGACGCCGCTTCACCCACGCTGCTCCTGGCAGAAGCGGTGCTGACCTACCTGGAGCCCGCCAGGGCCGCGGCGCTCATTGCCTGGGCCGCCCAGCGTTTCCCCGACGCCCTTTTCGTGATCTATGAACAGATGAAGCCGCGAGATGCCTTTGGGCAAGTCATGCTGCAGCACTTCCGGCGGTTGCACTCACCCCTGCATGGCCTGGAGCTCTTTCCCGACTTGGAGGCCCAGCGCCGGCGCTTCCTTCAAGCTGGCTGGACTGCCTGCAGCGCCCTGGACCTGAACGAGTTCTATCGTTGCCTTCTACCCGCGGACGAGCGCCGGCGGGTCGAGACGCTTGAGCCCTTTGATGAATTTGAGGAGTGGCACCTCAAGTGTGCCCACTATTTCATCCTGGCAGCATCTAGGGGAGATACTCTGTCCAAAACTCCGGTGTTTCCGCCCTCAGAGGCTCCTTTTCAGAGAGATCCTGCTTCGCCTTCAGGGTTTCTTTCTGCCAGAGTAGTCACTGGAGACCACCAGGACTCAAGCCTGAGGAGATACGGCCACGCCTCCGTCCTCTTGAGCCCTGGCGTTATCTTCAGTGCAGGAGGCTTTGGAGAACAAGAAGGACGACACTGCCGAGTGAGCAGGTTTCACTTGCTCTCACGATCCTGCGACTCTGAATGGAAAGGCAGCCAAATAAGTCGTTTGAGGACTGAAGGCCAGTGGGATGGACGCCTTTATCACACCATGACAAGGCTTTCAGATACTCAGGTTCTGGTTCTCGGAGGGAGACTGTCCCCAGTAAATCCAGCCTCCGGGGCTCTCCAGCTTGATTTTTACAAAAGCGAGGATAATTGCCCCGAGGACCAAAGTGTAACAGTAACAGAGGCCACCTTAGGAGAAGGCCCCATGTTGCCTTGCTGGCGGCATTCAACAACAGAAGTCTATCATCAGAACCAAAGATACTTGCTTGTGTATGGTGGCCGAAGTGTGACAGAACCGGCAGTTAGTGACTGTCGTTTCCTCCATGTAGAGACAATGGCTTGGGTCAGAATCCCCGTTGAAGGGGCAACACCCCAAGGTCGGCATTCTCACAGCGCCTGCAGTTGGCAAGGGGGAGCACTTATCGCTGGAGGTCTTGGTGTTTCTGAGGAACCACTGAGCTCTGTACTCTTCCTCAGACCAGTGTCCTCCAGATTCCTCTGGGAATCAATAGACGTCCAGCCCCCCATTACCCCGAGGTACTCTCACACCGCTCACGTATTTAATGGAAAGCTGCTTCTGGTTGGAGGGGTGTGGATTCATTGCTCCTCAGTCCCTGGAGTGACTGTTATCAATTTGACTACGGGGGTGAGCTCTGAGTATCAGATTGACACAGCGTCAGTGCCGTGGCCGTTAATGTTGCACAGCCACAGCAGCGCCCTCCTTCCCGAAGAACAGCAGCTCCTGCTTATTGGAGGGGGAGGGAACTGCTTTTCCTTTGGCACTTATTTCAACCCCCACACAGTGGCATTAGATCTCTCCTCCTTGAGTTCAGGGCAATAAAGAATGGACTAGATACATTCAGGACCTAAGAATGAATTTGGCTGTGTATATTGGCACCACCCCACCCTCCAACACACATCTTCCTTCCTTACCACACTATTGTAGGACATGAACAGCTGGTTACAATAAATGCCAACAGTGAGATGGTACATAAGTAAAACAGTGAAAAGAGTGTCATACATTCTGGGAGCCTCAGCATCATGTGTCCAGTTTGTTGGGTTTCTACCAATTTTCAACTCTTAGCCATTTATCCCGAGTAAAAGATTTCCCAAACCTCTATCTTGTGACCTAGATTATATTTTGGGAAAAAATTCATACTGATCCTTGGTAAGAATACAGGCTGAGTATAGTTCAGGAATTCAGTGTTGGTCTGCTGCTTTGGGTGTAAGGCCTGAAATGAACACTGTTAAAGACTTGGCCTTTAGGTTGAACACAGAACTTTAACAATGAGAAAAAGTACAATTTGAAAATTGTGCTTTCGATCACTCTTTTGCTAACATTTTATATTAAGCTTTGTAAGTGCTAATAAAGCAGTCATTTAATGCCTTACTGTTTTTTATTTTAACCTGGTATAATGAATGATGTTTGTTCTGGAACTTAGGCCATCACTGTTTTGAGCCCCCAAGCAGCTTCAATTTATAGGCAGAATCGGTCAGCTTTCTTCTAGTTTTCTGGTTGAGTTCCACTGGTCAGAAACACTGTAAGAAGGAAATGTATATTGTGGGGAGGGGAGCAGGAAGTGAACCACAGTAGTGGCTCTTCCTCTGCCAGGCTACAATTGTGCACTCTGCCAAGGCAATCGCTCCTGACATGTAACCTCTGTGCTAAGGCAGAGCACTTGTCACTTAAGGCTTTAGGAATTTTTCCTTTTCCTTAACCTCTTCAGACCTAGGAGTTGTGCTGGCTCCTTGTTAGAGCTGAGCTGTATTTCCCAATACAGTGTATTAGTTTTCTTTTGCTGTGAAGAAACACTGTGATCAAGGCAACTTAAGGGTTTATTTGGGCTTCTGGTTCCAGAGATAGACCACCCTGGTGTGGTGGCTGGAAGCAAGAATACTGAGAACTCACATCCTTTACCATAAGCAGAAACCAAAAAGCAACCTGCAAATACAGAGGCCTTTAGAAGCCAAATCGTAGGCTCCACTCCTTTCCTCCCGGTACACTGGATGCCTCTATTGACATACCTTGCAACTCACCGAGTCATTCTGCCACAAAAACTGTTCCAAGATCACTAATGATCTGAGAAGATCATTCCCACCCGTGACATACTTTCTTTAGCAAAGATACCTTCTAAACTTCCCCCAGACAGCACCACCATCTGGAGACCAAGTGTTCAAATTCATGAGCCTATATGGAGCATTCTTACTCAAACCACCACAAGTATAGCAACTGGCGACTTGTGAAATGTTAAAAGCATTAAAGAATATTGGGATTGTAATGGACCGTATAATCTGCAGCCATTAAATTCCCCTTAGTTATCCCTTAAATGATTGGGCAATTCTATTGAGTTTTGAAAATATTAATGACATTTCTTAAGTTTGGAGACTTAATATGTCATGTAAGTTGTATAATGTGAGCTTCATAACTAGGAGGTAGTGGCTTGGTAGTACGCTAGTATGACCCTGAATACAGTAATATCTTTATATTCTGTAAGTATCCAGCTGACTATTTTTAACCGTTAATTGGAACTTAGTGAACTGCATCGCATGGCGCCCCTTTTCTCTAAATGTTTTCTGTTGACTTTGCACAAAAAATAGATGTGGAGGGTAGTTAGTATAAAAACTGAGTAGGGTTGTAGTTTAATATAAACTTTCCTGAGACTTTAGAAAGTCCCTTTCTGGAAAAGTCACTGGTTATGGCCTGGTGTGAGTCTTGGCATAAAGGGCAGCATCTGGCAAGGCTCTCAGTGGGCCAAGCGCCAGATAACTGGCCGCAGTGTGATTGGTGTGCTTCTAGTTTGTAAGTTTATCACAGCCTACCTTCAGCTTTCAGGAGCAAGTCAAGGGAGAACATTGTGAAATTAATGTTCTCAGCTGGGTGGCAGGTAGAACCTGAATTCTAATCAGGCCCGACTGTAACCCCACTTCATTCGGTGTGCCGTCAATCATTATATTTTCATTACTATGGGTATAAAGAGGTAGAGGCAGGTCATTGAGAGAATGTTGGTGTGTGCCAGACCCAAGTCAGTGCAGGAGGGCCTATTCTGCTAAATACTGCCAGGCATTATGAGTAATTGGGCCTGGACTTGTACCTTCAAGAGAGCTAACTTCTGTATTTCTGGGAGCAATTATAAGATTTGGCTTGCTTTCCAACTTTAACCCTATTTTTGCAACATGCTTAGTTAAATTACTTATCTCTTAAACTCTTCTTAATTAGAACATTTAGTTTTCCCAGAGTGTTTGCCCTGTGACTTCAGAGTGGCATTTGGTAGATACTGGTGATGCTGGGTTAATTTCATTAATGGCAGTCTGTGGCAGCTGCTGAGACAGGCCACACTGAGAACTGAAATTGGAGGAGAACTGCTTCTCTCTCTCAATTTGGAATATTTCCATTTTAAAATTCTACTCTTGGGCTTTGGGATAGTTTTGAAGGTTATTTTTAGTGATTGTCTTTCCTCTTTTCGTGATTTTTCTTTCTAGACCAGAAAAACTATTAAGAAAAGACTCTTTACTCTGGGTCTCATAAGCAGTGTGTCACATTAGAATAAGAAAGCAAGCCTTGGGGCTGCAGAGACGACTCAGCAGTTCAGAGCACTGGCTGCTTTTCTAGAGGACCCAGGTTTGATTCACAGCACCTGTATGGAGGCTCGCAATACTGTAATTCCAGTTCCTGGGGATCTGATGCCCTCCTCTGGCCTCCAAAGGCATCAGGCATGCATGTGGTACACAGATGGAAAAGCCAGAAAAACACCCATTTACTTTTTTTCTTTCTTTCTTTTTCCCCCAAAAAGAAGTGTTCCAGTGCTGGCTCTGGCAGCTCATGCACTAAAATAGAAATGGTACAGTGAAGAGCATAGGTCCCATGCAAGGAGGACATGAAAATTTGGGAGGCAACAAATAATGAACAGCAAACCCCACAACTTTTTCCAGCTGATATTTGGTTAACCCACGTCCATCCATAAAACTAATCTGAAAGACTGGGAACATGCAAGCGCACATGCCTGCGAGCATGCGTAGTAGCTTCCCAGAATGCTGCACCGCTTCACTGGACATGGCCTGTGTCTAACTCCATGGTAAGTTTACTAGAGGAAAGCCCTGTCCTCATTTCTATGTGCAAAGTCATTCGCTACCCAACTGGAAGATTAAGGCTGCTAAATAAACTGTAGTGAGAATGGCTTTGAGATACTGTGCAATCCTCTGCTGCTCTCATTTCTTAGTTTATTCACATTTTTAGGCTTTCCGGCAGAGTCCCAACCTTAGATTTGTATCTGTTACTTCAGAGAAAGCTAAACCAAGCTGATCATTCTTGTTTATATAAACCAGAGACAGCTTCTATTTAAGAAAAAAAAAAAAAATAGCCAACTCCTTTCTTTCTGCCCCCAAATAATTTTTTTTTTTTGAAGTAGAATCCATACCTCAATCTATCAAACTTACATTTAGGTAACTGAGTCCAAATACATTATTCTTATTACCAGAGCATAGCACAGTAAATGTGCTACAGTTTAACTCACAGGAGTGGATATGCGGCCTAGGTAAGGTAAAATCAACAATGAATTAATAGCAAATTATTTTGTGTAAAGCAGAGATTATAACTGGACACGTGACAACAACCCTAAACTGAGGCAGAAAGATGATAAATTTGAGGTGAGTCTGGGAAACTTTTCAAGAGTCTGTCTCAAAACAATGACAACAAAAGACCCTTGGGCTGGGCAGGTAGCTCGGTTGGTAGATTGCTTGCCTAGCATGTACAAAGCCCTGGCTTCTATCTTCAGCACCACTCAAGTCTCAGGAGTGGTGGTACACATCTGTGATCCCAGCAATATAGGCAGTGACGGCAGATCCAGGAAGAGCAGAAGTTCAAAACCAATTTACGCTATAGAGTGAATCTGAGACCAGCGTGGTCACTGTGGTTTTATTTTCAGGTGATAATTTCTCATTTCCCCACATTTTATTTTAAGGTCGTTTATGTGTGTGCGCACAAGTGCATGTGCCTAAGGCATGTGTGTGTACATGAGTGTATTCGTGTGGGTGTGCGTGTGGGTGTGTGTACAGAACACGTGTGAAAGTCAGAGGGCAAGCTGTGGGAGTCAGATTTTGCTTTCCTTGTGTGGGTCCTGGGGATCAAACTTGAGTCATCAGGCTTGGTGGCAAGCACCTTTATTCACTGAGTCTTCTTGAAAGCCCTCATCGTGTAAACTGTGATTTGCCTCTTCCCTAGAAAATTGGCTTTCTCTTTTTGTTGTCATTTTTGTTTGTCTGTTTTTTCAGACAGAGTTGGCCTGTGTTACCCTGGCTTGAACTCAGAGATCATCCAGCCTCTGCCTCCGGAACGCCCTGCTCCCTTTTCATTTAATCCCTGGAATTAAGCATAGCTCCATGAACACCAGCATATCTGTAATCCCAGCCCCCAGACGCCTAAATCAGGAAGATTGAGAGTTCAAGGCCAGCTTGGACGATGCTGTGTGATCCCCAGAACTCACAGGGTGGAGGGAGAGAGCCAGCTCCCACAGACGGCTTTCTGGCCCCCACGTATGAGCTGTGGCATTGTGCGTATTCATGTGTGTGCATGCGCATGTGCACACACAAACACAACCTAAAAAGCTGGCCAGTTTGAAGAATGGACTATGTGACATTCTCTGTATCATTTCTTAGGAGGTGAGAAATATGGTCTGCAACATGGGCGAGGGAGAAGCAGTATTGAGTGAGGAGTGAAAGTACAGCTACTTCGGGCAGAAGAGAAGAAAATCTATTGACTTGAAAAGCATGGCTGACAGGTGGTGGTGGCGCACACCTTTAACCCCAGCACTCGGGAGGCAGAGGCAGGTGGATCTCTGTGAGTTCGAGGCCAGCCTGGTCTACAGATGGAGTTCCGAGACAGCCAGGGCTATCCAGAGAAACCCTATCTCAGAGAGAGAGAGAGAGGCAGAGAGACAGAGACAGAGAGAAAGAGAAAGGAAAGAAAGAAAAGCATGGGTGAGACGTAGCCACTGACAGCTGCAACTAATTCTTGCGGAGCTGGAAGAGCTAACTAGAAAGAACTGATAAACTCACACTGGACAGCGGGGGCGATAGGAGCTGTGAAAGGAGTCGTTTAAAGTCCTGGGAGAGTCAGATAGACCTAGGTTGGGTTTTTAGTTGCTTCTTGGGAAAAATCACTTAATCCCTCTAATTCGCAATTCCTAAGCCACCAAAGGGACACAATTAGTGGCGCTAATTATAAACCGCTGAGAGGACTATATCGGATAAGGTGGACATAGTACCCATCACGATGTGAGGGACAGTCTACAGCCTCTCGCAAATGCTTTGTCCCCAAAGCCTAATCAGTAAGTACGATATTCAGTGACGGTTCAGTGTTGTGTTGGGCCTGTGGGAGGGAGTGTGGT